AAAGACAGAGCCTCAATATGTGGCCCTTGGTAGAGTGCTGTGGCGTCATAGCTCACAGCAACCTCCAACTCTTCGGCTTAAGCCATTCTCTTGCTTCAGCTTCCCAGGAGGTATCTGGGACTATAGGCACCTGCCACAATGCCCGGCCATTTTTTGGTTGCAGTTGTCATTGTTTAGCTGGCCCAAGCTGGGTTTGAATTTACCAGCCTCGGTGGACGTAACCATAACCACTGTGCTACGGGTGCCGAGCCATATATTTTTACATTTTTAAGAATATGATTATTTTTTATACAAGCGTAAAATCTCAAATCTAATAGTAAATAATTTGGCTCATTCAGGAAGTACTGTACTCCCTAGAAATTCCCTAGAATTTCTGTCCAGGGTTACTTTTACAGTTGATGAGTTTTCTTTATTTCCCGTATATCGACATGTGTTCTGCTTCCTTGCAGTTCAACAACATGTTGCTGTACTGTGTGCCCAGATTCAGCTTGGTGGGCTCTAAGTTTACCGTGCGAACCAGAGTTGGCATCGATGGGATGAAAATTGTAGAGACTCACAACGAAGAATATCCGCACACTTTCCAGGTATCGGGGAAGGAGAGAACACTGGAACTCCAGGCCAGGTAAGAGAACCATTCCTATCCCACAGCTTTCGAAAAACATCAGAATGAACCACAGGACAGAATTGGGGTTCTGAGGGCTTTTTCCCAATGAATGCTACAGCAATCTGGGAATCTGGTTGGATATAAATGGAGACCTGTGAGCTCTTGTGTGGCAGGAATCATGTCTTCCTCTCTCCTGATTCCTCCACGGTGCCTGGCACAGTAGTTGGTGGACAGAAAGTGTTTAGTAACCTGGTGATGAACTCCTCAGAAATACGGGGTCCTCAGAGGATGAAGTTGTGCAATCAGGCCAGAATTTTGAAATTGCAGAAAGAAGTTCTCTCCTAATTCTCCTTCCTTTCACCCCTCCTTTGGGTGTACAAATGGTTATTGATGCTTACTCTTCCATGTGACAGACACAAATTCCAGCCACATTCCTGGCACATCTTGCAAATTCTTGGTGCTCAGGAATCAATCAGCTGGAGAAAGGTGATTTGGCTCAGAGGAATAAATCTCTGTCCAGTCTCATGCACATTACCTGTGGGAATGCGGCAGGCATCAGGCTGGAAGTCAAATTTAACCCCAGCCTACCAATGTCTGCAGATAGACAGGGCCACCTCCTTAATTCTTGTCACAATCCCTCGATTCAAAGACCTAACCCAGTTAATCATTTACTAATAGGGGTTTTTCAAATATGGTATATGACAGCAGCGGACGAGATAAGCTCCCTGCAAGGGAGAGGAAATGCAGAAAACTTGCCTTAACAGGAAAAAGAGAACTCGATTACAATTAAGGAAATTTTTCCATGGGGAGAATTACTAACCCCTGGGGGCCACGAATCTGCAAAACCCCTTTCCTTGCAGCGTTTAAAACTTTTGTATGTTTTGGGCGGTGCTTACGGCTGAAGGAGTAGGGCACCGGCCCCCTATACCGGGGGTGGCCGGTTCAAACCTGGCCCTGGCCAAAAACTGCAAAAAAAAAAAAAAAAAAGACTTTTGTATGTTTGGCTTTATTTATAATAGGTTAGATATGGTATTGCCTGAAGCCTCCTAGGAATAGGAAAATAAAATTGTTTATCAACGGAAATGTTAAATAGCTCCCTAAGGGTTTACAGAGCTATTTTAGGTTCTCAAGGATAATTATCTTTTCTAAGATGGGCTGTGACTAGTTGCCTTTAATAGCCTTTGTGTGTTTTAGAAAATGGGCAGGTTGGCTGCGATGTATTCAGCATGCTGCTAGATAGAGTCGCCTGATATATGTAACCAGATGGTGGTCATTAAACTTAATGTCGGGACAGTATATTAATGGACGCCAAACCTGACTCTCTTCATCAAAATTCATGTGCAGCGGAGTCAGAGGATAGTATGAATCTCAGTTAAAGAGAAATCTATTTGTTCAGTTGCCAGAGAGTCTATTTAATTTTGATTATAATTTCTTCCAGGACATCCCTAAATTTTCCGGCAAGTTGGAACATCATTAAAGCATAGTTTTATCCTGCCGGTGTAATTCATTATTGTTCTCTGTATTCATTTTAATTTTGTTTTGTTTTAGTTCTGAGCAAGATAAAGAAGAATGGATCAAGGTAAGCCTGATTTCTATTTCAGTTCTTTTGACAACCTTTCTGTGTGTACACAAACGTGCACAGATTGGTGTTTGTTTAATAGATAGTCATCAGAACAAGTTCATTTATTTTTTAAGGTGATTCCTATTGTAGATGTTTGTTTGGTAAAGTGTATTCATTAATTTGCAGGTGAAAATTTTAATGTGTTCTTTGGGTTAAACTTTTATTTTAGGCCCTTCAAGAGACCATTGATGCTTTTCATCAAAGGCATGAAACCTTCAGAAATGCGATTGCAAAAGATAATGACATTCACTCAGAAGTTTCTGTAAGTTGAATCAAATTCTTAATATAAGTCCTTTTATCTCTTTGCAGTTGCAGAGTATCGAATCATTTTGTTATCCAGCCTTTTTCCTTTATGATGTCAGAACTGACTGTTTAACCAAAATCTCATTCCTTCTTCCATGAATATAATAGCAAGTGCTTTTCATACTGCTTAAACGTCTATGAACCTGTCACTTCTTTTCCTTGAGTTTCAGGATGCGGTTTGAGCAGTATTGTTAAAGTGCTTTGTAAAAAATAACGGTAAAAGAGAAGTAATTTTTTTCCAGCTCGGAATCTGGCTCGGCGTCTGTGGCTTAAGTGGCTAAGGCGCCAGCCACATACCCCTAAGGTGGCGGGTTCGAATCCAGCCCGGGCCCGCCAAACAACAATGACGGCTGCAACCAAAAAATAGCCAGGCATTGTGGCAGGTGCCTGTGGTCCCAGCTACTTGGGAGGCTGAGGCAAGAGACTCGCTTGAGCCCAGGAGTTGGAGGTTGCTGTGAGCTGTGATCACAAGGGGGACAGCTTGAGGCTCTATCTCAAAAAAAGAAAAGAAAAAAAGAAAGAAAACTGAATGAATCTTTCCTTTTTAGACTGCTGAGCTAGGAAAAAGAGCCCCAAGATGGATCCGAGACAATGAAGTGACGATGTGTATGAAATGCAAAGAGCCTTTCAACGCACTGACACGGAGAAGGCATCACTGTCGGGCATGTGGACACGTAAGTGATCAAGAAACATGATCATCAGGGTTGCTAGAAACTATATAACTAAGGTAAAATCATCAACTTGGAAAAGCCCCCTCCCCCCCTAAAGAAAACCCCAATCCTTTAACAGATCACTTAAACTTATTTTGGTGCCAGCTCTGCAAAGCACTGTCTTGGGACCTGTGGGAAAAAATGATACACAGAGCTTACGTGATAATAGAGAAAACAGACAAATAAGACTTTTATATTACTCTAGATAGACTAAGACAGCAACTTTAACAAGAAGTTAAAGTGGAGAGCGTTGACAATGGAGGAAGAGGTGGAACCGATTTTAGATAGGAAAAAAGACCAATCTGTGGGGTTCGTATTTAACCTGAAGGGAGTTGTCTCCTCCCATAAGGAGAGCGGGCTAATAACACATAGGAAAGGAGGCAGGCTGGGCCTGGGGGCCTCATTTTCTCTAAGGAGGCCTGTAATCCTAGCACTTTGGGAGGCTGAAGCAGGAGGATCCTTTGAGAGCAGCCTGGACTACATAGCAGCTCCCTATCTCTATAAACAAATCTAAAAATTAGTTGGGTATGATATACACTTGCCTTTAGCCCCAGCTGCTTGGGAGGCTGAGATAGGAGAATCCCTTGAGCCCAGGAGTTGGAGATTGCAGTGAGCTATGATTGCAGCACTACATTCTAATCTGGGCAATAGGTAAAAAGCAGTTTCAAAATAGGTATATATAGTGCTTTGCACAGTTGTCACCAGAATATATATATATATATATATGGCTGGGCATGGTGGCTCATGCCTATAATCCTAGCTCTCTGGGAGGTCAAGACAGGTAGATTGCTTGAGCTCAGTAGTTTGAGACCAGCCTGAGCAAGAGTAAGCCTCATCTCTACCAAAAATAGAAAAATTAGCCGAGTGTTGTGGCAGGTCCCTGTAGTCCCCAGACAGTGCTTCCCATGACTGGTTTGCGCCATTTCCTAGAGTGGGGAAAAGTGTTGGGCGGAGTAAGGAGAGAACTGAGGACAGGGAGATCATGAGTTCAGTTTTTGAGGATATTGGTGAAACATTTAGAAATATAAAGAGCAAAGGTCTGGACCATGCCTGTGAGGGCCTCCTAACCCTAGAGGCCAGAAAGAGAAGGATGAGTAAGCAGGGCCCATCACAAATAGCGTTTTATGCCTTGGTGCATACTCCCAATGTTTATGGGGGTTTTCTTAGTCTGATAAAAATCTGCCTTTTACATTTTACTTTTTTGTTTGTTTGTTTTGTTTTGTTTAAGATAAGAGTCTCACTTTGTCGCCCTTGGTAGAGTGCTGTGGCATCATAGCTCACAGCAACTTCAAACTCCTGGGCTCAAGTGATTCTTTGGTCTCAGCCTCCTGACATAATGCCTGGCTGTTTTTTTTAGAGATGGGATCTTGCTCTTGCTCAGGCTGGTCTTGAACTCCTGAGCTCAAGCAATCTGTCTAGCTCAGCCTCCCAAAGTGCATTTAACTTTTTCTCATTTATTAGTGCCTACAACTAGTTACTGCTTAACTCTTATCCTTTAAATATGATCATTCACTCTTCATTTTTCTTTTAAATTTAAGGTGGTTTGTTGGAAGTGTTCTGACTACAAAGCTCAACTTGAATATGATGGTGGTAAATTGAACAAAGTTTGTAAAGACTGTTATCAAATAATAAGTGGATTCACAGACAGTGAAGAAAAGAAAAGGAAAGGAATTTTAGAGGTATAAAATATTCAATTTGGGGTATCTTTCAGACTTTCATATTGGGAACATAGAATTCTCTTAGCCATGAGCAATACAAGTAATATATTTTGTTATTTAACTGGGTATTTCTCTGAGTTAATTTAGATAATGAGCATGATTCATACTTTTATTTCATAGTTGACTTTTGGGATCCTACTTGGTCGTATAGGAAGGGGGGGCTGCTATGTTAAACTATCAGGCATTTGAGAGAGAAATATACTGATTTTTGTGGTGGCGCCTATAGCTAAATATTAGAATATTAATATCTCTTCTAAAGCACACATTATTATGGTGCATTTTCTTTAAGATAAAGCTTTTCTCTCAATTTTATCCTGTGGACTTTGAAAACCATTATGTGAAATTTTTCAAATTTAGATCAAGGCACTAATTTCATTACTTGAAAAAGTTGTTTAATTTACTGCAATAAAGTAGCCAATTTAGTATAGTCCTGTGGCAGTAACCTGATAACTATATTGAAAAATTATTAAAGTTAAAAAAAGAGGCTCGGCGCCTGTAGCTCAACCGGCTAAGGCGCCAGCCATATACACCTAAGGTGGCGGGTTCGAATCCCCAGCCCGGGCCCGCCAAACAACAATGACGGCTGCAACCAAAAAATAGCCGGACGTTGTGGCGGGCGCCTGTGGTCCCAGCTACTTGGGAGGCTGAGGCAGGAGACTCACTTGAGCCCAGGAGTTGGAGGTTGCTGTGAGCTGTAATGCCACGGCACTCTACCCAGGGGGGCAGCTTGAGGCTCTGTCTCAACAAAAAAAAAAAAAAGTTAAAAAAAGAAAAATATTATTGAGGTGTCTACCAAGTGAATTTGACTCATGTTTTAGGATAGATTTCAGTCCCCCAAGCCTGGGAACTGTAATGCAGCTCATATCTGCAATGCATTTCACAGCCAGAGATAGTAACAATATATGAGGCAAGTTATATAATAAGGCCTTTGTGGTAACAGGTTCAAGATAGCCTGGAAAGGCTGATCAAAATTCTGTAGATCTGAAGTCATAGACATATTTGGTTCATTAAGAATTTCTAAAGATTTGTTTATAATTTCTAAAGATTTATTTATGAATGTTTATTGAGCATATATGTTGTATGAGTGTATAGAGGTCAATTCTGTTAACTGAAAAAATCATAAATTTTATATTCCATTTGAGGTTGAAGTATAGGCCCACAGGCTAAAACAAGTGTAATTCTGAATTCTTCTGAAGTATAGATATTACTTGTGTGGCAGACCAGTGTGGCTTTCTCGGGCAGTGAGGGTGGAATGGCATGCTTCACTGGACCTAGGAACTCAGCCTCAGCCTCAAGATTTAATAGCAACAACTGGTAAGACTGGCACAATGGAATGTGTCAGGTAACTTATCTTAAGGATGAGCTCAGATGCACCTATTGTATGAAATAAATCTCTAGCTAGTTTTCTAGAAAACCATATATTTGGGGGGAAATTATTTATTGTCAACTCATTTAACCAAATAAATACATAGTATGTGGTCCAGAAGTGGGCAATATGCACATTTAAATGCATATTTGGGGCCCATTTTTGTGCCTACAGTGCCCATAAGCCCTAAAACAGTGGTTAGCAAAACTTCTCTATAAAGGGCCAGAGAGAAAACATGTTAGTATTTGCAGGCCAAGAGACCAAACCAAGAATATTACATACGTACTTATAAGAAGAGCGGAAACAAATTTTCACACTTTTTTTTTTTTTTGAGACAGTCTCACTATGTCACTGTGGCATCACAGCTCACAGCAACCTCAAACTCTTGAGCTTAGGCGATTCTCTTGCCTCTGCCTCCCAAGTAGCTTGGACTACAGGCATCTGCCACAACGCCCAGCTATTTTTTTGTTGCAGTTGTCAGTTTAGCAGGCCCAGACTGAATTCAAACCTGCCAGTCTCGGTGCATGTGGCCAACGCCCTACCCACTGAGCTACAGGCATCACCCAAATTTCCACACATTTTAATTGACAAAATTCCAAATACGTTTGGTATGTGGATTTTTTGTAATATAGGTCTACTAATAATTATGGAATTTGAACCGCTACTGCCTCTTCCTTCTGCCACTCCTGGTGGTAGGTGTGTGCTCGCTCGGTGCAGACCTGGCACCTCTGTGAAGGGGCAGCTGAGGAGACTCAGGTGCTCGCCATGGCAGATGAAAAGCCTAAGGAAGGAGTCAAGACTGAGAACAGCGATCAAATTAATTTGAAGGGACAGGATGGTTCTGCGGTGCAGTTTAAGATGAAGAAGCATACGCCACTTAGTAACCTGATGAAAGCCTACTGTGAACGACAGGGTTTGTCAGTGAGGCAGATCAGATTCTGATTTGATGGGCAGCCGATCAATGAAGCAGACCCGCCTGCACAGTTGGAAACGGAGGATGAAGATACCATTGATGAATTCCAACAGCAGACAGGAGGTGTCTACTAAAAAGGGAACCTGCTACTTTACCCCGAACTCTGTTATTATAGACCAAGATGATCTTCTCAATTAGAAAACTGCAATTTGGTTCCACCACATCCTGACTACTACAGTATAGTTTTCTCTTTTCTTTTCATTTTCCTCTTCCCTAGTCTTTTATTGTACATAAAGTAACAGGTGTATGTGCACAAGCATATTGCTTTTTTTTTTTTTAACTAAATAGCCAACAGTATGTTTTGATTGATATCAGGTGGAGATGGGTTGGGCAAAAAATATTGGTTCTGTGAAAATACCCTTCTTTCTCTATTCGTGACATGCTCATCTGCTCTTAACTTTGTATTCCAGTAAGTTATTTTGCTCTCACTGTTTTAACAAAACAATAACAACATGAAAAACCTTGCATACTGGCTCAGCGCCTGTGGCTCAGGAGGCTAAGGTGCCAGCCACATACACCTAAGGTGGCAGGTTCGAATCCAGCCCCGGCCCACCAAACAACAATGACGGCTGCAACCAAAAAATAGCCGGGCGTTGTGGCGGGCGCCTGTGGTCCCAGCTACTTGGGAGGCTGAGACAGGAGACTCGCTTGAGCCCAGGAGTTGGAGGTTGCTGTGAGCTGTGATGTAACAGCACTCTACCCAGGGGGACAGCTTGAGGCTCTGTCTCAAAAAAAACAAAAACAAAAAACCTCGCATACCTTGTTCAATTAGAGAATTTTAATCTTTTCATTTATCATTGTAAAACCATGGACAATTTTATAACTTTTTTGTATATAGCTGTTACATGTAGGGCAATCTGTCTTTAAGTAGGGATAAATTACTCAAAAAAAAAAAAAGAATCCTAGATAGTTTTCTCTTCAAGTCAAGCGTCTTGTTATTTAAATAAACTTCTTATTTAAAATGAAAAAAAAAAAAAAAAGAATGGCCAGGCACAGTGGGTCATGCCTATAATCCTAGCAATCTGGAAGGCCAAGAATTGCTTAAGCTTAGACGTTTGAGACCAGCCTGAGCAAAAGCACAGACCCTGTCTCTACTAAAAACAGAAAAATTATCTGAGTGTCATGGTGGAACACGGGACACAGTGTAGTCCCACTACTCGGGAAGCTGAGGCAAGAAGACACTCACACCCAGGAGTTTGAAGTTGCTGTGAGCTATGATGATGCCACTGCACTCCACCAGAGGTGACAGAGGGAGACTGTTTTTTTAAAAAAAAGGAATGAACATTTTTTCTTTTTGAGAAGGTATCATTTAACTTAATTGGAATCCAAAGTTAGTGTTCTCTATCATCAGACTGACTGTAATTGGCCTCTGGACCACACAAAAGCAAGTAGTGGGCGGCATTGGCTTTCAGGCCCTCATTTGCCTACCAGGGCTTTGATGAAGCCTCAGTTTTATTTGCAAATCATCGCAGATCAATACATACCATCGGGCACTTGGTGTCGTGGCAATGTCAGATTGCTATGAGAGTTTTGGTGCTTATTCTTATTTGTGCACTTATTGGAACTGGTAACAGAACAGTTTGCAAGTCAGCATAGACAATTCTAAGTTCTACCCTAAGGGAAAGGGTAGAAGGAAAGCAGAAGTTACTACAAACCAGTTAACTTTCCATAAGGTAAACAGTGAAAGTAAACGATCGTTTACTTTAATGGGTTTGTTCCCTTGTTAGCCAGTGATTTATGTACTAAGAGGCAAAGCAGAAAACTGTACATGATTGGATAGAAAATATATTGCAGCAAAACTTTTTTTTTTTTTTTTTGAGACAGAGTCTCACTATGTCACCCTTGGTAGAGTGCTATGGTGTCACAGCTCACAGCAGTCTCAAGCTCTTGGGCTTAAGTGATTCTCTTGCCTCAGCCTCCCAAGTAGTTGGGACTACAGGTGCCTGCCACAATGCCCAGCTATTTTTTTTGTTGCAGTTGTCATTGCTGTTTAGCAGGCCTGGGCCAGGTTCAAACCCCTCTAACCACTGAGTTACGGGCACCGAGCCTGCAGCAAAACTTTTTAATTATCTCAGGTACCAGGGGTAAAGATTGCTGGTTGGTGTTTACCTTTCTGCTGTCACGTTCCTGCTCAGTTGAAGTATGTATAGCATTGTGGTTGAAAGTTTAGGCTGTGGATCCAGACTGTTTAGGTTCAAACCTTGGCCTTCCAATTCCTACATGTGTGGTCTTGGGAAAGCTATTTAAACTCTGAGCCTCAGGGATAATCTAAGTACTAACTTGTCGGTGTAGGTGTGAGGATTAAATGAAATAATGCAGGAACTGCTAACAAAAGTGCCTCCATAATAGCAGTCAATAAATGTTTAATTCTTTCTAAATTCAAGATGCAGTAATATAAAGAATTAAGCTTAGTGCCCGTAGCTCAGTTGTTAGGGCACTAGCCGTGTACACTGCCACTGGCAGGTTCAAACCCAGCCTGGGCCTGCTAAAAAAACAACAATGACAATTACAACCAAAAAAATATCCAAGTGTTGTGGTGGGCGCCTGTACTCCCAGCTGCTTGGGAGACTGAGGCAAGAGAATTGCTTAAGTATAAGAGTTAAAGGTTGCGCGAGTTGTGATGCCACAGCACTCTACCAAGGGCAATATAGTAAGACTTGGTCTCAAAAAAATAAAAAAATACTAAAATTAAATATTTTTCCATGTTAGTGATAGTGTTTAAACAGCAGTTGCAAGTGAATCTTTTTTGGACAATCCAAGGAACCATTTTATCTAAACTTCGGCGTGCTTTATCAGTGTTTGCCTTAAGTCAAGTTACTCCTCTCTCTCTCTGGTTCATTGTGTGTTCACGTCTCTCCTGCTTTCTCTCCATTGTATTTTTCTAGATCGAATCAGCAGAAGTATCTGGAAACAGCGTGGTGTGTAGCTTTCTTCAGTACATGGAGAAGTCAAAGCCTTGGCAGAAAGCTTGGTGTGTGATCCCCAAGCAAGACCCCCTTGTGCTGTACATGTACGGTGCCCCCCAGGTATCAACAGCACGTGTCTGAGGGGATGGGGGCGAGGTGTGGGGGTAGATGACAGGGACCTCCGCATCCTTCCGGTGCTCCCCTGTAAAATGAGAGAACTCAGTTTTACTGTGTTTCATTAAAACTGAAAAACCGGGAGTAACTAAAATTCAAGTTTGTTGTTTAAGCTGATTGATCCATTTTATAGCCAATATTGTCTGTAACCTGTGGGTCATGTGTCCCTTCTCTCCTTTTATCCACAGAGTTTGAGAAAAGGTGAGTTAAATTAGGAACAAGCGTGCAAAGAAAGATTGAAGCAAGAAATTAGAACAAACCTTTTTAATGATAGGGAACATTAAGAAAGACTTTAGGCTCAGCGCCTGTGGCTCAAGTGGCTAAGGCGCCAGCCACATACACCTAAGGTGGCGGGTTCCAATCCACCCCGGGCCCGCCAAATAACAATGATGGCTGCAACCAAAAATTAGCCAGACGTTGTGGTGGGCGCCTGTGGTCCCAGCTACTTGGGAGGCTGAGGCAGGAGACTTGCTTGAACCCAGGAGTTGGAGGTTGCTGTGAGCTGTGATCCCCTAGCACTCTACCCCGGGGGACAGCTTGAGGCTCTGTCTCAAAAAAAAAAGAAAGACTTTAGTTTTGTTTGGTTTTGGCTCAATGGATATGTGAGGAAAGGGCATAGTTTAAATCAATCTTGATTACCATTCAGTAGCAATTTGGGGGGGAATTCTGTGTGCATAGATCAGAGATAAATCTATGGGAATAGCCGGTTTAGCTTATAACAAGTGCACCACCAGAAAATATGGATTGTGTTTAAAAAAATTGAACAGGCTCGGGGCCTATAGCTCAGCGGTTAGGGTGCCAGCCACACACACTGGAGTTGGCGGGTTCAAACCAGGCCCGGCCTGCTAAACAACGACAACTACAACCAAAGAATAACTGGGCATTGTGGAGGACGCCTATAGTCCCACCTACTTGGGATGCTGAGGCAAGAGAATCTCTTAAGCCCAAGAGTTTGAGATTGCTGTGAGCTGTGACCCCTATGGCACTCTACTGAAGGTGACAGACTGTCTCCCAAAAAATAAAGAAAGAAAAATTGAACATACGATACTTAAGCCATGTATGTATTCACCCTGAAACTATAAAAATTTTAAATGTGCCTGTTATATTTTAATCTATATTTATTTTAAGAGCTAATAAAAGTATTTCATTTTGGAAACAGACCAGAAATGCCAAGGTATATATTATATTCTGTTTTATTATTTTTTCTGTGACCTTTTCCCTGTCCATAAATCAGTTGATGAAAGAATGTATCACCGAGTAAAACTGCCTTTGGTAGTGAAATTGTCATTAATCCTTGCTGGTTTAAGACCATGAGATGGCTATTACTTTCTTTCTTTTTCACTGAATGGAGAGTTGAACGGGCTGTCTCGCAGAGTCGGGTCAGTGAGTCAGAGATGAATGGGGTCATTCATTCAGTCAACATTCTCAGTGGCCTCGTGTACAGGAATTCCTCAGTCCCCACAGAGAGCTCACCCGTGCGAATCTGGGTGGGGCAGTAGGTAGAAGAGAGGTTGAATAGGAGCAAAGGCCACACACAGCGATGATCATACATCTCGTGCTCTTATGTCCCGTGGTTTTTCCTTAGGACGTCAGAGCCCAAGCCACCATTCCGCTCCTGGGCTACCTGGTGGACGACATGCCGCGGAGTGCAGACCTGCCACACAGTTTCAAACTGACCCAGTCCAAGTCTGTGCACAGCTTTGCTGCAGACAGTGAGGAACTGAAGCAGAAGTGGCTGAAAATCATCTTTTTAGCTGTCACAGGTGAGACACCAGAGGGTCTAGATGAGCATCCAGCCGCCTTGGACGATCATCCTGACCCTAAGAGAAAATCAGATTGCTGAATGCCAGGACCAGCCTCGGTGCAAAGGGCTCCAGTCGTGCGGCTCAAGACATTCCCAACTCTCCCTGCTCAGATCCTAGCACTTTATGTTGAAAAGTAGAGGCTCATCAATGCATCTTTGGGGGACTGTTTTCCTAGGTTTATGTACTCTTAGTGAAACTAATGTGCAGAGCCATTCTACCAGTAAAGTTTTGAAATAATGTGAAAAACGGAGCAAGGTTTGAGCTACTCCTTGGATATACCTTTGTCTTGAAGAAAATGGTTATGGAGTGATTGTATCCCCCATCAGGTTAGAGCGAGCACTTTCATTTAAGAAATCCTGTAACGTCTTCTCGTTCACACGTAGGACCTGTAACAGTTTAAAAAGATATACCTCCATGTTGCCAAATTAGATCCATAGTGAAAAAATACAGGGACACTTTAGACTATAGTATTAACTTATTTAATTTAGTTTATAAATCTCAAGCTGCATAAATGGTGTCTGTTCTTTTTTTAAAAAAAGAAAAGACAAATTTTTGGTGTTCAGATTTTTGATTTATTAAGAAAGGTAATATTTGTTTTTTTTTAGAAATACTCCTATGAATCCGATATCTTAAGTATATAGCAGTTATGTGTATATAGTATTAAACATATCTATACTATCCATGCTTTTCTCCTCAGCTTTAGCTTCATAGTTATTTCTAATTTATTTTATACATATAAAGCATGGTTTATCTTGGACTCAAACAGTGTTCTAAACTTAAGAAATGTTATTGGTGATTTGTTCAACTGATTGGCATCTAAGGGTATTGGTATTTTTATAATAAATAGTAATTTATATGGCATGGGATGTATTCGTGAATTCCAACAGTACTTTGAACTTACCTTTTTTTTTGTTCTGTGCCTATTTAAAACAGTGCCTCTCTCAGAAGGTGCTATTAATACCTATTTAAATAAGTATAATAGAAGGTGAGGGTTCAGTTAGTGCTTCAGTTTTTTGATTCGGAGATAAAAGTGCATTTTGGTCACTGGGCTGGTCCGAGTCCTCTAGGTTATTTTACTTTTTACAGTGCTACATTGTTGGCAGTCGTTAACATCAGCATGTACAAAAATGTTCCCCCAAACCTGAACTCGGTGAGACACTTGACTTTATACAGAACTTGGAGATGGAAACTACATTTGTTGTAACGATTTTCTTTTCCATAGGATGATCAAGCTTGGTTAAATGAGGCCTACATATAATGAAGGCGGAAGGTAACTGCGTGGGCCTGCTCCTTTGTCAGAAATGAAACAAATTGACACAGGATAGTCTATGTTAGGGTGGGGAGCGGTGGTCAGTAGACTAAAGGAAGTCTGTGCTCCACCGCCTGGCCACAGAAGCAGGGGAAAACGCAATATTGAAAAAAAGGGGATAGTGGCAGCACCTGTAGCTCAAAGGAGTAGGGCACCAGCCCCATATGGCGGAGGTGGCAGGTTCAAACCCAGCCCCGGCCAGAAACTGCAAAAAAAAGAAAAAAAGTGATAGTTAAATGGAAGTTTTTCAGGAGGTACAAATGACTGGGGAGAAAGTCTGGGAATTTTCGCCCTTCTATCCTCTTGGGAATTTTAATAGACATTATGATTCTTTGTCATGAAGGCTGCTCTTTCACTATACTGTACTTGTGATTAAAATCTCACGTTGACTATTTAACTTAATCCTTTTCTTGAATTTTACTCCCCCACCCCCAATACTGTCATACCCCAAACAGTCTCACTTTTTAGTATGCCAGTCTGCTAGAAAGTTATGAAGAACAGCTCCACTGACCTCCGTCTATAAGGATTACATTTTAAACGTAGAACAGAATTTGAGACTACCACACACTTATTCTAGCCCTGTTACTTTAAGAAATAGCTTATTTCTTCCATCCCAGAGGAGGTAGTGAACCAGTTAAGTGATTGCGGACATCACTGAATTCCCTTCCTCCATAAAAGGAATACCAGCCATGATCATTCCCATGAACCCAAATCCCTGGAGCCAAAAAGAGATAAAGGTAGCTGCTTCAGCCCTATTAAATCAGGGACGGACCACTAGACATTGTCCATTGCTTCTCTTCCCTAATTGCCCACTCTCTGTGTGTGAGACGTATGTTCAGAGTGATTATTGAGAAAGTTAAACTATAGCTATAGAGATGCTGCTTTGGTTTTCTTAGGAGAAGTACTGTAATAGGAATGTAAAGTGATTATCAGGGGAAGAGGGCTTTTGTAATTGCGGACAGAGCGCTGGAAATGTACGGACTAAAGAGAAGATTTATGAGTCAGATTATTTTTGAAAACTATTTTAAACAGCGGGAAGACTCCGCTTTTCCCGACTCTTAAGCTCTTCTGGAACAGAAGTCACATGACACTCAAGTTTTGGCTCAGTAAGTAACAATGTTATTTAACGTAGATTATTGAAAGAATACTCTAGTAAAGAGAATATTTATTATCATGCTCTCAGTCATTATCTTTATTTTGGTTTTTTTACAAGAAGCATCATTATTAGGAGAGACCGTCTGCGGACCCAGTCTCCATCCTTACCTTCCAACCCACACTCTTCAGCTAAACACCCCGAGAAGCAGCAAAACAGCCTTACCTATTTCTCTCCTCTGAAAGATTCACTAATGCTTTTCCTTAAAGACAGGTAAAAGAACACTCTTAGCATTTATTAAACAACTGAAACCAAAAGACCTCAAAGTGTGATTGGTTAGGACAGGAATCAATGTCTTTTCCTTCCTGAGACCCCTGAGCAGTCGTGACAGATTGAACCTTTAAAAAAAAAAGCCAAACACCTCCTGGGTTGTTTTCTTATTAAAACCACCATTCTGTGGAAGCCTTCGTTTTTCCCTTCATTTGGTGCTTTTTCTTTAAAGTGCCCTTCCTCCAGACTTACATGATGCTTTGCCAAAACAGCCATCATTACACAACATTCCAGTTTTTAAACTGAAATCTCGCTTTCGTTGGAAGTCCACCGTTTGGTGTGTTAAGTCTAAGCTGCAGTGCAGACTCTTATCTCGGTTTTAAGTGGGGCTTAATGGAAAACACCACCAGCCACTTTTGTAATAATGGCATCCACAGGGCCATCCTGTATGCAAGCAATAAAACTCTTCAGGGTATGGTTTTATACGGAAAGTTGAATAGGAGGGCCCTGAGCCCCATGGGTGTAGAGAATGACTACCTAGATATGATACTGTAATGCAGATTGCTGGGGAGAGGGAAGGGAAAAGGGCGAGGAGGGCATCGTTCCTTGGATTCAAATATCAAAAGCAGTCTTACTTTCACAAAGGGTATGGGTGGTGAAACAGTTAAAGCACACCTGCGCTACTTTATAAAGCTACATTTTGTTGTCCACGAAGTTTAATTTAATGTACAGGTTGGTGTACTGATCTTCCTCACTGGGTGACCTACCTGTCCCAATTCTTTAAAAAACATACCCATTTTCTTAAATTACTGAGCTTTTTTACGGGAACTAACCTTTTACGCACATTCTGTCCCCAGATACAGATAGGCATTTGGAGTTTTAAACAGGAACACTTGTCATAAAGGTATAAAGAAAACCATATCGTTCGTGGTACTGCAGGGTTGTTAAAGAGTCTTTGATGCCTTTTAAAAACCTTATGTCAAAAATACCTTTGTGGGTTCATAATTCTGTTTTACTTTTTCTTATCCTTACTTTGTGGAAACAGGGTGGCTACTTTTTTTTTTTTCCTGATTCTATTCAAAGCCTTAAGTTCTTATTCGAGCATTGTCTGTGGTAAATTTCTGGTGATCCTTCTGGACAAGACATATGTTGAACAGGTACCAGCAGGAGCAAATAAACTTGTAGAGAAGAAGGTCTTATTTTGTTCCCGGTATCCTTGCTGTAATGCAGAATAGAAGAGGAACTAAAATTTCCTACTTCATTTGATATTCATGTTAGCAGGTCTGAGATTAAGCACATGGTATTTATAAGCTAAAGTTAATTCAAAAGGCAAGAATGTCTTAATGTTTTCATTCTTAAATTTTTTATTCTCCAAGAATGTATTACTATAAGAACTGGCCAGCCAGTTCCTAGTCTTAGGACTGTATTGACATCTGTCGGGGATCATGTTGCTTCTTCATTCTTATCCAGGTTTATTAGTTTTATTTTCATACTATGATCTACTATAGATTCTCCAATTTAGAAGATATGAGTGATATATAAAGACCACTAGGTCAACTTAAAAAACACTTTCTGTGAATTTATACATGTATGTATATATGTAAAAACTGTTGATTTTCAATTCTGCCTTTCCATAGGAATGCAATTTTTCTATACAAATTTTTAACTTAAATATTTTAACATAAATTATTTACATGGGTTTTTTATGTATAATTCATCCTTATAGAGGCCCCTTAATCATGTAGTCATGAGAAGATACTGTTGCTTTCTTTACAGGCAGGGTGGGGAGGAATAAGATTAGAAACTGAAACTAGAAGGAATGAACAGGTCGGGCGTAGTGGCTCACGCCTGTAATCCCAGCACTCAGGGAGGCTGAGGCAGGAGGATTGTTTAAGGCCAGCCTGGACAGCACAGTGAGACCCTGTCTCTACAAAAAAAAAAAAAATTTAATTAGCTGGGTATGGTAGTATGTGCCTGTAGTCCCAGCTCCTGTTAAGGCTGAGATGGGACGAACATTTGGGCCCAGGAATTTGAGGTTACAGTGAGCTATGATCATACCACTATACTCCAGCTTGGGTAGCAGAGTGACCCCATCTCTTAAAGAATGGGCAGAAAGGTGGACAGAGAGAGATTTCTGGTCTCTAGTGTATTTTAAGAGGAAAATGCTTAAATTGCAGAAGTAATATAAGCTATAAAATGCAAATCTATGTAATTGCATGCTGATGGAATCCATTGCACCAAGGCTTTTGACCTTGGCCTGTTAAATTATAGAGTAAAATATTTATTTTTTCTCTTTTAGACTTTTAAGAAATAATTTCATTCTTTTAGGCCATTTCCTGCACTGTTTACTGAGGCAAAAAAAAAAACTTTTCCTTTGGGGCCTGAGTGGCAGAATGCAGTGTGTTTTTCTATGTTCTGATATGAAAGAGCACATGGTTTCTACAAGAGTTTTTAACTTGTTGGGGTCACTGAGAGTCACACAATGGTTGCCCCTTTTCCTAAAATTCATTGTGGTAGGTTTAGTGGAAAGTTAATCTCCTAGCATCTTTTAATAAGTGAATACCAAATACATAG